GAGGGTGGGTGTGCATGGGGGTGGGTGGGGTAGGGCATGGGGGGGTGCCAGGGTGCGTATACATGCAGGTGGGTGGCTGGCTGTGCACAGAAGGGATGCAATGGATGTTTGAGGAGAGAGGCACGGAGGGAGGGGAGACAGGTGGCTGGGCCTGGAGAAGGGGCTCTCTGGACCGCTGCCATCAAGCCCAAAGACCTGGAGGACAGAAGGATGCTGATGAGGAGCCAGGGTGAAGAGGCCAATCCAGGCCCCAGACCCCGAGTGCAGGAAAAGCGAGCGCGGTGGCAGCCAGTCCAGGAGAGACATGGCAAAGAGCTAGAGAAGCCTGAAATGCCAGCCCAGCGGTGTCCCTGCTCTGGTCAGCCCAGCTCACAGGACACAACCCCCCGAGTGGCAGGGCTGTGTGGGGAGGCGGGTCACAGCTGGTCATGGCACTGATGCCATAAAGATCAAAGTTGGGGAGGCAACAGCTCTGATGTCATAAGAAGCTGAGTCGGAGGGGCACTGATGTCACGAGGAGCTAGATTGGAGGAAGTAACAGTTCTGATGTCATAAGAAGCCGGGTCAGGGAAGATTAATGGCACTGACGTCATAAGAAGCTGAGCCGGGGAGGTAACACCAGTGATGCCTGTGGCAGAAATGCCACCGTCGGTGCCCCTCTCCAGGGGCCTGTCCCCGCCAGCCTGAGAGGCTGCTGTTGAGTCCCTCAGGGCGGGGATCTCCCACCTTGTCTGCAGGACAAAAGCCTGGGGCCTGGGAGGCAGATGCTCTGGTCACCTGGGCAGAGGGGGGAAAGGCCCGGCCCTGAGCATGGGCCCAGGTAACCAGGGATGCTTGGGAGATTGGTCACCTGGTGGCCAGTATTGGCAGCTTCGATTGGACCGGGCTGCTGAGGTCAGAGAGGTTATTTAAGGGCCCGGGCCAGGAAGAAGGAGCCCTTAGCCATGCGGTCATCCAGGTGAATCTGAACCTGGCTCTCTCCTCATCACCGCATGCTCCAAGAGTGCCCTGCCTCCAGAGGAAACAACAAGCACCTCTGGACGATGCGAGTGAGTAACCTACTCGAGATCCGATCAGATATTTAGCTTCAGTAACTCAGATGCGTGTTTAAACGGCTACCTCAGCCACCCTGGTTTGCTCTATGGGATTCCTTTGATATTCCTGTGATATTTCTATGATATTGCTCTACCTTTTACCCTGTTTCCGCCCTACCCCTGTCATCAATAAAGTTCTCCTTGTGACCGCTGTGGAAACTTATTGAGGGGTGGGGCTAAATTATGCCAAGGAGGCCCCTTAGGTCTGTGGACTAAGGGAGACTTTCCTAAATAGCCCCTGACTTGGGGAAGTGCCCCAAGTGCTTGTATTGGGTCTAGCACCCATTGGACGATCAGGCCTGTGTTCTCCCAGGTGAACAGAGCCAGAAGTGAGTCCATAGGCGCCCCAGGCTAGCGGGTGCGCTCCAGGGAAGGGGTCGGCCGGACGTGAGGCACCCAAGGGAGGCACTCAGAGCCTGGAAGGTGGTCAGGCGCAGGGAGGTGGGCGGCTCAACGTGGGAGCGCCCCCTACTGGCCCGCTACACTGCCCAGCTCCCTACCACAGGTGCCTGGGCTCCCTGTGATGGTGGACCCTGGAAGGATACAAACGACCACAGCCGTAGGCCCCAGGGCCTCTCCCCTTCCTGTCTTCGCACACAGGCAACCAGCCTACGAGTTCTGCTGGGCGTCCCCGTTGAGCTCCATCTTGACGAGACCCAGCTGCCCAAGCACCCGGGCTTCAGGGGCTTTGACCTGACGTGGCTCAGTCAGGAAGTGACCGTGCCTCATGCCCGCACCCAGCACCTCCCCCACAGCTGCACTTTGCTCCATTGGGCCAGTGGTGCTGGGCCAAAAAGGGGCCGGGGGCCTCCGCCAAGCAGGGACAGCCCCTGGGAGTTTGCATTTCTGACCTGGCTTTGGGATAGACCAAGGAGCTTTCTTGCAGGCAGCGGGTGCAAGGGGAAGGGGCTCATCTCATTGATAAAGCAAAGACTGTCCACTAAAGCCCTGGTTCACAGGATCCCGTGGCCCGTGCCTTTGTTTTTCCCTCGTGTTCCCGTCCCGGGGGCCATAGACACATCCAACAGGGCAGATGCATCTCAGCAGATGGGACTGGCCCTCCACAGACCCCCTTCATCAGTGGCTGGGCAAGACAGATATGTGCCCCAGCAAGCTAGCAGCCTCAGCCAGATTCCAGGGCATGGAGCCAGCGGGCAGCGGCTCTAGGAGGGGAGCTGCTGTGCAAAGGTAACTGGTTACTCAGTAATGAGCTCCAGCTGCTGCGGCCTTGGCCCGCCTGCCCTGCCCCCTCCTGAGCCCAGCGCTGTGGTTCGTGGCCACGGGGTGCTTCAGGGGCAAGGGGGCTCCTTCCACTTCAGCAGCCCGGGGCCTGGTTCTGTCATCCACATGTGGAGGCTTCAAGGCCCTTGCACTCTCCTATTGCCCAGTCCAGAGAGGGCTGCTCTGGCTCAGGCTTTGATCGGCCAGAGCCCACTCCAGCTGCACCCCGATACCAGCTCTGGAGCTGCATTCCCAGGGAGCGCCCCCTGTCTGGAACAGGCCTGAGCCCACCCCTCGCATTGCTATAGACCTGGCGGATGCCTGTCCCTAGGGCTCCCAGAGCTCCTCTGAGCTTCCTGGGCTGACTTCCGTCATCCCTATTAATATCCCCGCTGCATCCCCACTCGAAGCACTCGTGTCCACCTCCCCCTGCCCTCACCAGTGGTCATCCCGGGGGCCAGGACAGGATGGGGGGAGCTGGAGAGGGCCGGGAAGGTCAAGGGGCCATCTTGGCTGGGTGCTGGAGGTTCAGGACCACGGAGAGCACCCAGTGGCCTCCCTGCTGCTGGGACTGGGCGCCCCACTTGGCCCCCGGACGCCTGCCCCATGCAGCCCCTAGGGCCCGGGCAATCAGGCGCTTCGTGCCCCAGCTCATTCCTTACCTCGGCTCATTAAAACACAGCTGACCTGTGCCACCAGCTCCGCACGCCTGGCACGGAGCAGAGCTGTGAGCCGGCCTCCTGGGCTCCCTACCCAGTGCTGCCCCTGCTCCGGGCATGTTCCCAGCCCCATCTTGTGGGCCCCGAGCTCATGAAACAGCATGGGGGTGGGGGGTAATTGCATGGGATTGCATTGTGGGCAGGGCATTGTCCTTGGGGCAGAGATACTCAGGCCTTGCTGTTGGCACCATCGTTGAGGGTCTCTGCAGGGGAGCTAGTATCTCCGTTGGGTTGCTGTGGGTGCCTGGGGTGCCAGGGCATGGGCTGGTTTATCATTAACCAATGACAAGGGCAATCAATGCCTGGCATTGCCCCCCCCCCCCCCCGTGCCACTTTGCCTGACCAGCGGCCACCAACACAGCACATAGTGGGAGGTGAATGACCCCACCCCCTTCCAAGGCCATGACCTCACAGGCACGGAGATGATATCATTGCCTGGGCAGCTATTGCCAAAAGCCTGGATCTCCCCCACTATGGCCTCCTGGCTGGGGAAGGAATCGCTGCTCCCTGGGGCCCCGGGCTCTGCTATGGGCTGAGGGTGCTGGTTCTCTCAGGGACGCCTGGATTAACCCTGGTGAGACTCTCTCAACATGCGGCAGAGGCAGTTGCTTTGAAGGGGCCAAGGCTATGCAGAGAACAAGGCTGGGAGGATCCTTGGAGTCACCTTGTCCAGACTCCTGCCCCCCACAACATCCTGGACCCCCGCCCCCCCACATACTTGCACCGCAGCCTCGGACATGTGCCCCTTCCCTTTGCCCCCATCCTCTCCTCCCATGTTTCCAGGCCAGCATCCTGGAGCTGTGGTCGCCCCTGTCCGTGCCTTGGCTGTGCTAAATGGCCAAGAGAAAGCCCCTGGGGATCAATTCCTGGCTGTCTCTTGCCAGAGCAAGGGGTCACGGCATGAAATGAGCAGGCCGGCAGTTTAATGCCAACATCAGGATGGACATATCCCCCCCTGCATGGGATGAAATGGGGGAGCTTGTGGGGGACACAGGGGGGAGCAGAGAGTCCAGACACATCCACCTGGGGTCTGGGGCCATGCTTGGGGGAAAGGGGCATCGGGGGCGGTGGGGCACAGGAGTGCGGGGCATGGTCTCAGGGTCACAACATCCTGGACCCTCGATGGCTGTGAGGGGGAGAGGAACGGGGGTAAACCCTGCTCGGACCCCATCGCTCTTCCATCCAGCGGCGCTCTCTGGGGCATGGCACCGGGCAGGACGGACCCAGGGTCTGACCCAGCACACGGCTGCTATTATGTTCCTGTGCACCGAGCGGGCTGGATGTTTGGAGGGGGCCTGAATGTGTTTCATCTGGGAAGGTTTGGTGCTGATGGGTGACGTCTCCCCTCACCTCCTGGCTCAGCCCAGGCCCCGGCACATGGGCACCGGGTGCTTCTCAGGGAGGTCCCCGGTGCCTTGTGGCATCCTGGACCTGAGGCCCTACCCACAAGCCCCTGAGCCAGAGGGCTTGGCTCTGGCTTTGCTTCCCCTCCTGCCTGCACAGGGCCCCGTGGTGATTGCACAGCTGTCACGCGACCTGATGGTTATCAGCACGGCCCTGGTGCTATATAGACGGGCTCAGTGGGACGGCTCCAGCTCCAGCTCCAGCTCCAGCTCCAGCTCCAGCTCCAGGATGGATTTCAGTGGGACCTCGAGCATCATCCTGCTGATGTTTGTCTCCTGCCTGCTGCTCTTCTCCTCCTGGAAGAAGAGGCGATGGAGCCATCTGCCCCCTGGACCTTCCCCGATCCCCTTCCTCGGCAACATGCTGCAGGTGGATGCCAAGGACCTGATCCCGTCCCTCCGGAAGGTGAGCAGGGCCTGGAGGGGCTGCGCTGGGCCCTGGGGGGCATGCCCCCGCTGCCCTGGGTTAACCCCATGCCCTCCTGCTGCCTCCACAGCTTAGTGAGACGTACGGCCCCATGTACACCTTCCACCTGGGCTCCCGGCCCTGCATCGTGCTCTCAGGCTACCAGGCACTGAAGGAAGCCCTGATTGACAAGGCCGAGGTGTTCAGCGGCCGCGGGGACTTCCCAGCTGTGCAGATGTGGAGCAACGGAAATGGTGAGGCTGTGCATGGACACGTATGCGTGCACATCACACACACACACACACACACACACGCAAGCACACTTGTGTGGACACACATGCACATGCAACCACACAGACATGCACAAACAGGCACACAGACATGCACATGCTAGCACAGACATGCACACATGCATGCACATGCTAGCGCACACGCACATACCAACACACAGACCCACATACATATACACAGACACACATGCAACCACACACACGTGCACACATATGCACATGCAAGCATACAGACACACACCCACATGTGCTAGCATGCACACACACACACACACGCTAACACAGAGACACACATTAAAGTACACACATGTGCTCACATACATGCACATTCAAGCACTCACACACACATATGCAAGCACACAGACACAAGTTCACACATGTACATGCACATGCAAGCAAAGACACATAAATGCATGCACACATGCACGCACGCACACATGCACATACAGGCATGCACGCCTGGCTGACTTGTTTTACCACGCTGGCTGTTTAAAGTGTCCCAGCTCTGGGGTTTTTGCAGAGCCAGGCTCCAGCCCGGCAGCGAGAAGCAGGGCTCACTGCAGCCAGGCTTCCTCTTGAGGGAATGAATGTGATCCAGGGCTCGGGGGGCAGGAGGGAAGTCAGGAGCTTGGGACAGGGAGCAAGGCCTGGCGGGCATTGGAGTGGAGGGGGCTGGGCATGCCGGATTCCTGGGTTCTCTTCCCAGGGGAGGGGAGTGGGGGTCTAGTGGCCAGAGCCACAGTGCCCACGAGGACGGTACCAGGCCAGGGAGCACCGAGCTGGTCTGAAATCTACCCCCCACCCTATGATGGAGCTGCCAGACCAGACCTGGAGCCACGGGGGGCAGCGACCTGGCCGCTAGGGCAAGGCTGCATGTGTGCAGGTGGCCGTGGGGGCAGAGGACATGCTCCAGCCCCCTCCACCCTGGTCTCACGTGCATCCCACGTGCCAGGCATCGTGTACGGTACCGGCGAACGCTGGCGCCAGCTCCGGCGCTTCGCCATCACCACCTTCAAGAACTTCGGCATGGGCAAGCGCAGCATCGAGGAGCGCATCAAGGAGGAGGCCCAGATCCTCGTTGCAGAGTTGCGTAAGACCAACGGTGGGTACGGGGCAGAGAGCCCCCGGGGCCCCCCAGTCCGGGCTCCTCCAGGCTGGGGGCCGGACCTGAGCCCTGGGTTCAGCCCCAGGCGACTTGGCAGTGGAGGTTGTTAATGCCCCCCTCTCCCTGCCCCTCTCAGGCCAGCCCTTCGACCCCACGTTCTTCCTGAGCTGCGCAGGCTCCAACATCATCTGCACCTTGGTCTTCGGCGACCGCTTCGAGTACACGGACCACCAGTTCCTCACCCTCATGGGCCTCATCAACAGGAACTGGAAGCTGATGAGCTCCACCTGGGGGCAGGTGAGCGGGGGGGGGGGGGGCACAGACCCCCCCCGCATGGCACAGGGTACCCCCCATAGGTACCAACTCTGGAAATCCTCCCCCCACACACACAGGGAGACACCAATGCCCCAGCGCTGCCTCCCTGCTCAGCCCTGCCAGGCTCAGCAAGAGGTGAAGGGCTTGCAGAGGTGGCAAGCTGCTCCACATGAGAGGTCATGATTTAGCTCACGTCATTCACTGCATTTAATGACCCCAGTGACTCCCTGATGGCTGAAGGGGGGGTCAAAGAAATCTCCCCGGGGTGAAAGCATTCGCTGTGTGCGAGGAACAGTGTCACCCCGGCTCTTACATGGACAAAAACTTTGAGTTCAAATCCGAGGCAAATCCAAAGGCAGCTCTGGAGTCAGGCGAGGCAGAGGCCAGCAAAGGGTCTGCAGAGGTGGCCAACTGCTCTGTGCTGGAGGTCACAGTTGAGCTCGTCTCATTCACTGATCTTAATTAACCCAGGAGGTTTTTAATTGCAACATTTCCTTCTAGTTTGATTTTATGCAAGCTCCCAAAATGGACACTGGTGCGGGGGTGATCTAGGCATCACCATGCCTGTGCTCTGCTATGGGGGTTATCCAGGCTGCTGGGCTTTGCTGGTTGCCTCCACCTTTCTGCTACAGGGGTCGGGGGGAGGGGGTGTTAAGCCTCCCTCTGAGGCACTGGGTGCAGGCTGGGGATGGGGTCTGGGCTGTGCCAATGCTCAGGGATGCAGGGTCCTGGCTAAAGGGTCTTGCCCCTCTGCCCAGGCTCAGACTGATGCTGCACTGGGGGCATTCTCATCTGATTTGAATTGCCATGTTCCCTTCTAGTCTGATTTAATAGAGCCCCAAAATCTGGAAAAGCTACATGAAAGCTGCGGGGTGTAGTAGATACACTGAAGGATGGGGCTAGGATTCAGAGTGACATGGACAAATTGGAGGATTGGGCCAAAATAAATCTCATGAGGTTCAACAAGGACAAGTGCAAAGTCCTGCACTTAGGACAGAGCAATCCCATGGCACAGGTGCAGGCTGGGGGTGACGGGCTGGGCAGCAGCTCTGCAGAAAAGGACCTGGGAGGACAGGGGACAAGAAGCTGGATATGAGCCAGCAGTGTGCCCTTGTTGGCTAACAGCATCCTGGGCTGCATTGGAGGAGGGCTGCCAGCAGGTCGAGGGCAGTGATTCTTCCCCTCTATTCAGCACTGGGGAGGCCACATCTGGAGTCCTGTGTCCAGCTGTGGCCCCCACTGCAGAAAGGATGTGGTCAAGTTGAAGAGAGTCCAGTGGAGGGCAATGAAAATGATTCAGGGGCTGGGGGACAGGACTTGAGGCTGAGGGAACTGGGCTGATTTAGTCTGGAGAAGACTAGGGGAGGGATTGAGTAGCAGCCTTCACCTCCCTGCAGGGGGGCAGCAAAGGGACTGTTCTCTGGTGGGGGCAGACGACAGGACAAGGAGCAATGGGCTTAAGTTGCAGCAAGGGAAGTTGAGGCTGGATATCAGGAAAAACTTTGGCATGAGGAGGGTAGTAAAGCACTGGAACAGCTTACCCAGAGAGGTGGTGCAGTCTCTATCCTCAGAGGTTTTGAAGACCCGGGTAGACAAAGCCTTGGCTGGGATGATGGAGTTGGGGCTGGTCCTGCTTGGAGCAGGGGCTTGGACTAGATGTGACCTCCTGAGCTCCCTGCCCACCCTCGTTGTCTATGAGTCTGTGAAACGTGTCTTTGAACCCAACGTTTTAGTTGATCGAACACATCCAGGTGGTTGTTTGGGCCCAGACCAAAGGGGACTTGTCTTTCCAGGTCCCTGAGCCACTGCCCCACGGTCCCTCCCAGCCCATCCTCACTCTCACTGCTGTCATTCCCAGCTGCTCTTCACCTTCCCCAAGATCATGCGCCACGTCCCCGGGCCCCACAGGCAGATCTACAAGAACTACCTGAAGCTGGCGGAGTTTGTCGGGGAGCGGCTGCGGCTCAACAAGGAGACGCTGGATCCCAACAACCCGCGGGACTTCATCGACTGCTTCCTCATCAAACTGGAGCAGGTGAGCCTCCCGCTAATTACCCAGAGTGCAGCCCTGGGCCGCAGCAGCAATAGTAGGTTGGTGCCTTCCTCAGCTGAGACCTCAAGGGGATGTCCAAGCGCGTGGAAAATCTGGGGATCTTTCCCTTCTGGGCTCAGTCCAAAATGATGGGGGGGGGGGACGCGGGGGACACAGGTTCCCTGAATTTTTGAGATGGAAAGCAGACAGAAAAATCCATGATCATGCCTACTGCAGATCCCTTGTTCCAGATGGGATTGGCCAAGCCAGTGGCCACGCGTGTACACACGTGGGCATGCATGCACACGTGCACACATGTACCAGCACACAGATGCACACACATGCTTGTACATGCATATGCAGACATGCATTTACATGCACACACATGCATGCATGTGTGCACACACGCACATATGCTTACGTGCATGCACACACCTGCACAAACATGCATGCATATATTTACACGTGCACACATATGTACACATGCACACACAGATGCATGCACACGTGTGCACACACACATGCATGTGCATGCACACACATGCATATATCTACACATGCGCATTTGTACACACAGATGCATGTATATGCATACACATGCACGTATGCATACATGCACTCATCCACATGCATGCACATATATGCACACACATGCACAAGCACACGTCATGGCCCTGACCATCCCGGCATTCCAGGAAAAGAACAACCCCGACACGCACTTCACCGAGGAGACCATGTCCAAGACCACGGTGAACCTGTTCTTCGCCGGCACCGAGACCGTCAGCTCCACCCTGAAGTACGGGCTGCGGATCCTGCTCCGGCACCCCGAGGTGGAAGGTGGGTGTGGGGCGAGCCCTGGCGGCCACGTGCCCGGGGGCAGGGAGGGTGGGTGGGCGTGGAGCCCCCCAGATGGGTGCTGACCGCCCCGGTCCCGCTGCTGCGCCCGCAGAGAAGCTGCACGAGGAGATCGACCGGGTCATTGGCCCCAACCGCAGCCCCTGCATGGAGGACCGGGCCCGCATGCCCTACACGGACGCCGTCATCCATGAGATCCAGCGCTTCGCCGACATCGTGCCCATGGGCGTGCCCCACACCGTCACCCGTGACATCGAGTTTCGGGGCTACCGCATCCCCAAGGTGGGGCTTGGCAACCTAAGGGCCGCTCTAGCTTGCGCTCCTGGCCCCACCCCTTCTCTCTACCCCGCCTCCTCTACCTGACCCCCAGCCCTGGCACTGACCCCCGCTGCCCCCCTCTCAGGACATGAACATCATCCCCCTGCTCTGCACGTCCCAGTTCGACCCCAGCCAGTTCAAGAACCCCAACGCCTTCGACCCCGGGCACTTTTTGGACGAGAACGGGCGGTTCAAGAAGAACGACGCTTTCATGGCCTTCTCCGCAGGTACGGCTGAGCGGGGGGAGCCGGCGGGCCAGTGATCCCGGACTCCTGGGTCCTCTTCTCTGCTGGGAGAATGGGGTCTGGGGGTGGGAGCAGGGGACGGGGGCCAGGGGTCTGCTCCCAGCTGTGGTCTCCTGCCAACCCAGCCCCTCTCTCGCAGGGAAGCGGGTGTGCCTGGGCGAGGGCCTGGCCGTCATGGAGCTCTTCATCTTCCTCACCTCCATCCTCCAGAGCTTCAATCTCAAGCCGCTGATGGACCCCCGGGACATCGACATCACCCCCGAGTCCAGCGGCTTGGGCAACATCCCCCGGCCCTACCAGTTCTGCCTCCTTCCCCGCTGAGCAGAGCCGGTCCCTCCTCCACCTGCCCCGACCCCGGTGCTGATCCAATAAATCTCATTGTTTGTACCCGCCCGCATCCAGGCCCGTGATGTTCATGTGGAGCAGACTCAAGTCAAGACCCACCGCCGTGGGCCTGTGACGGAGAGGTCTGGGGCCTGGGTAGGGGGACCGCCTGTCCCTATTGGCATGGGATGGTCCCACGATGGGAACCTCAAGTCCTGGTCCCGGGCTGCAGGACTCCAGGACAGCATTTGTCCTGGGTTCACAGCATTGTGCAGGGATCCATGGGAAGCGGCAGGTTCCCCTTTGCAGGCGGGCAGCATCTTGGGGCTGCGGGGCAGAGGACGCAGGGGTGCCACATGCATGCACGTGGCCGGCAAGACAGCCAGGCAGCATGGAGAGCAGCTCCCTGCCCTGTACACCCCACCCCGCTCTGCTGCTCTGCTATCTGCTCCCAGCTCTCCCTGCCACCGTGCTACCCATCCCCATCCCAATCTGCTGTGGCACGTCACCCCGGCCACTCCACGCCGGCTCCCAGGAGCGTGGCGGGGTAACTGGAGGGAGTGGGGGTTGATCTGCTGGAGCTGCCAAGCAGAGGCATGGAGCAATGCCTCCCGCACCCGAGGGGAGGAGAAGGAGAGTGGAAAACATTGGCAAGCAGCATGGCGCGGCCGCCAGCTCGCTTAAATAACCCGTCGGCCCATTGTGCAGCTCGGGCACGAGCCATGTGCATGGAGTGGGGCTGATGGCAGCGGCATTGGTGGACATGGGGCGGGATGGGGGATACCCCAGGGCAGCTCCCAGACCTGGGGCACAGGAGATTCGGGTGCAGGGGATATTGGAGGAGGGAGGGAGAAGAGGTCTGCATTTGGCCCAGACTCTCCAGGAGCTTTAAAGCCACTTGCAGACGGCCCTAGTCTGCCTGAGACAGCGCCCAGGAAACCTATCGCCCAGCTCCACGCTGGCACTGAGCAATGCCCCCAAAGCATCACCTCTCCAAAGGGGTCTCAGGCTCTGGGACCCCCTTGGAAACCACCAGCGTTTGGCCTTCACTCATCCCTGGGCTACGGAGATGTGGCAGAGTCTCCAGGCAGCCCCGTGGCAGGGCTGGGCTGGGAGAGGTGTTCGGACACCCCAGGGTGCCCTCAGCCGGTGCTGGGTTGCTCTGGGGACCCGTGGGTGCATGGCAACGGGTTTGATGTCTAAGTGGTTTGTCTTTGTTTCTTGCAGCAGGTCGAGGCATGTCCTCCCGTCTCCCCACGCAGAATCGCTGCGTCTCCCAGCCACAGCCATTGGTTGGGTAAATACAGCTGTGTTCCCAGAGCAGGGAGGGTCAGGCCCAGCCCTGCTAAGCAGCTTAGGGTGGGATGGGGAGAAACTCGACACCGAGCTGGGCTTCCCTGGCCCCGTTCCAGGGAGGAGGCGTTGTTTGAGCTGCCTCCTCCTGAAGACTCTCTCTCGGGGAGAGCAACACCGGGTGCCCGTGCTGCCAGGGCCCTGTGGTGCTCCTGAAGGCATTGGGCCATGCCTACCACCCTCTTGCCAACGCCACAGCTCCCCAAACCCCGTCATGCACCCAGCCCCAAGGCTTCCCCATGAGGCACAGAGCCCTGCTTTCCACGACCGACAGCTTTGTGTTTTATTTGCTCTCCAGCCCACTGGGCTGCCAAGGCAATCCCGGGACTCCGGGAGCCCAGGGCTTTAGCAGGGGAGAAAGGCAAGATGCCACCAAGGAGTCTGGTGAACCGGGGGTGCTGTGTCCGGGGGGTGGGGGTGCAAGGCGCTGCGGCCGGCTAGCGGGGCACGGCACGGCACTTGTAAGGTGACGGCAGGTTTCCCAGGCCGCTCACCTGGGGCGTGAGGTCGATCTGCTCCGGGCAGCAGAGGGGCTTGAAGACGAAGCGCTGCAGGAGGGTGGTGAAGAAGAGGAAGAGCTCCATGCGCGCCAGAGCTTCCCCCAGGCAGATGCGCTTCCCTGCGGGGAGTGGGGGGGGACACGGACATGGCTGTGGCAACGTGCGGCATAGCCGAGAGCCACCTCGGGGCTGCTCTACCATCTGCCCCAGCCCAGGCTCCGGTGCTCATGACAAAGCCAGGCCAGGGTGTGGGATGGGAGCCGGCCCCCCACGACCCTCGTGCTGTGCTCACCTGCGGAGAAGGCCATGAAGGCGTCGTGCTTCTGGAAGCCCCCGCGCTCATCCAGGAAGTGGCTGGGGTCGAAGGCGCCCGGGTTGCTGAACTGGGTGGGGTCCTTGAGCACGGTGCCCAGCACCGGCATCACATTGGTGCCCTGGGGAGGGGGTGGAGGACCATGGGTCATTCGTCTGTCTTCAACGGGTTGGTCCATCTCTTCTTCCAAACGTCTATTATCCACCCTTTCCATCCATCCATCCATCCATCCAGATGGTCTGTCCATCCATCTGTCTATCCACCCACCCATCAGTCTTCCAAGCTATGTACTCCTCCAGAGACACCTCATGAGGGTCCATCCATCTCATCCATCCATCTCTCTCTCTCCCTCCCATCCCCCCATCACGTCTCCATCCTTCTGTTCATCCCTCCGTTCCCTTCTCCCCATCCATCTTCACATCCCAGGGTCTCCCATGCCATCTCTTTGTCCATCTGTCTGTCCATTTATCCATTTGCCCACCAATCTATCACTTCCATGGCTGTTAGAACATCTGTCCACCTCTGCGTCCACGTCTTCTCCCCCCACCCCACTCCTGAGAGCCAGCCTGGGGGAGAGGCATTAAAAAACCCATCTGTCCCATCCCATGTGGGGCCGGCAGGGAATCCCAGTACCTTTGGAAGCAGGTATCCCTGGAAGACGGTGTCACATGTCACCGCGTGGGGGATCCCCAAGGGGATGATGTCAGAGAAGCGCTGGATCTCGTGGATGACGGCGTCAGTGTAGGGCATGCAGCTCCGGTCCTCGACGCTCGGCTTGCGGTCTTGCCCGATCACCCGATCGATCTCCTCGTGGACTTTGGCTACCGAGAAACGAGCAAAGGGGAAGGTGGTTTGTGCCATGCCGGAGGTGGGGGAGGGGCACGATCCTGGCTGGGGTTTGCCTGCCACGCCGCTTTGCTCACCCTGGATCTCCGGGTACTTCATGAGGATGAGGAGGCCGTAGCGCAGCGTGGTGCTGGTGGTCTCGGTGCCCGCGAAGAACAGGTTGTGGGTTGTCATCACCAGTGTCTCCATGTGGAAGTGGCTCTGGGGGTCCTGCTTCTCCTGTGGGGAGAGGGAAGCTGGCTGAGCCCCAGCGCTGCGGTGAGAGGTCCCTGTCTGGGGTTC